TATGGATGCTTTTTAATTTTAATGAGTTAAGTCAGTGCATTATTTTCTTAAATCAATAGTTTAGTCCAACATTGTCTTGTTTGTTAGTAATATATAGATGCTATATTATCTAATCAGAACTGTATGTGTTATAGTCGTGTGTAGAAGAAATGTTGATTTACAAGTGAGACAAATTCATGTTGTTTGATGAATACACAAACTGTATAAACCAGTAACCTAGATTTATATACACTGGTGATTACATTGTCTGTAGACCTGAATGTTGTAGGAACCATTATGATGAGTGGCTGTGGGATTCTGACCAATGGAAAGGGAACACGGAGGGAATACGGCATCTATAATCTGGACGAGTTAACAGTGAGTCCACACATTCATGTTACAGTTAGGGTGGAATTTATATTTGGAGTTCACCTGGGATACAATGGGCTCATTCCTCAGGCTACCTTTATTACTATCTACCTGTGTTTAATGATTTACATAAGATATTTTTATGGAGATGATTTAATGATAATCTGTATATTGTTCCTAAATCATATGTGCCACAATATAAGTTATTAATAAAATTCTAAATCCTTTTTTCTAAACAATATTTTATGTAATGATGTATAAATTGACAGGAGGGAGACAGAATTGGACTGATCAGGAAATCTAACGGACATCTACATTACTATATAAATGGAGAGGATCAGGGCGTGGCCTCTAACGAGACTCCGCCCACAATTTGGGGTGTGGTTGACCTCTATGGTATGGCTGTCAAGGTCAGCATCCTTGATCAGAATGACCCTAACTACCCTAACAACATTACCTCCCCTGTCCAGAGGGTGCGGAATGTGTTCAGACAATTCCCAGACATGTACGATGAAATTTCATCCGAAGGTAACACGTTCTTAAAAGTGACAAAGAATACAATGAATTACAGTAAGAGAAAAGAGTTCTAAATGAGATTATGTGAACAACTTTTCAGAAGCAGAACCTGTGGAGAGACTGTTGTTTCATACAAGATGTGGGTCACATGCTGCAGTCATCAATAACCAAAGAACAGCACACAGACCAAAGTTTGTTGAAAACAGACACTTTCTTACTAAATTCTGTATAATTCTCCATGAACATGCTGTATGATTTAGTAACTTTTTGATTTATTACATTGACAGCGCCCTAGATGACTTTAACAATGGTGTTGTTTTGACCAGTCGTCCACTCAGGCAAGAAGAATTATTTGAAGTTCACATTGACAAAATGGTGGACAAGTGGGCGGGATCAATAGAGATTGGGGTCACGCTTCACTCACCGAATGACCTTGACTTTCCCTCAACCATGACCAACATAAGGTCAGGGACCTGGATGATGACGGGTACAGGGGTAATGCACAACGGGACAACGGTCATTGATATGTACGGTCAGAATCTGGACAGACTGAAGGTCAGTCAGGAGGAAATGTACTTCATTGAATTTTAGTATTATTAGATATCTTCTAATGAAGATATATATTTTTGGGAAAGGAAAAAGATAATAAAAATCATCTAATGACAATAAACTTTAAATTAATGGTCAAGTTTAGTATATAATATGCTCGAGCAGACATTCGAAAGTAAATTGCCATTCGTTCTCTTTAATAAGGCTGAGAAGTTAAATTGATTGAAAGGAAATACATGTACAACCCTGCTTCCTTTTGTTTGTGAATATGTAGTTGACGTATAAATATAATATATAATTGTTTACTTAATTATCCTCTTCTACAGGCAGGAGACAGAGTTGGGGTCAAGAGGAGGGGGGATGGTAGTCTTCACTTCTATGTAAATGGAATTGATCAGGGTCAGGGGGCCACTGGGGTCCCTCCTAATGTGTACGGGGTAATTGATCTCTATGGACAGGCTGCACAGACCACTATAGTGGACCACTCAGGTAAATCTAGAGGATGTAGTATTGTTTATTCATAATAATTAGCATCTTTGCAGTTGCGGCATGTTTTCTAATTAGGGACAGTATATTCAAATAATCAGTTGATTCATATGCAGTGATCATGTCAAAAGTCAACACCTCTGATTCATGGGATTGGATAATAGTGATGTAATCCGTAACTTGATTTCGTCTGTCTTCCAAACACAGATCCCCTGTCTCCTGATGCTGATTCCTGCAGTGCCAGCGACTCAGAGGAACTCAGATTTCATCATATTCACGGACAGAATTCTACCATAACAAACAATGGTCGTACCTGTTTGCGGCCCAATGCCACGGGGGAGTTTAATGATGCCATCATCATGAGCAGTCGCCCCTTGAAGGATAATGAATTGTTTGAAGTCATTATAGAAAAGATGGTGGACCGATGGTCAGGGTCGTTAGAGGCAGGTGTAACATTAATAAAGCCAGAGGAACTGGAGTTCCCAAACACAATGACAGATATCGTGTATGACACATGGATGCTCAGGTATTTAGCTCATCTGTCTGCTTGGTTCATATGTAATAAAAAAAAGTCTCTTTAAAAAATTTTTAATACCGTAAATTATACAATGATCAAAAATTGAAAGTGACTTTAAAAATTGCAATAATGTAATGTTATTACCAGAGTTTTTAAAAAAAGATATTATTTGATAGTACAGTTAAATGAGACTTTCAATCTTTCAAAATGATGTGCATTATTAGGATAATTTTGTTCATTTTCTATGATATTCTTTATTTTAGTGGAGCAGCCATAATGCAGGATGGCTCTACGATCAGGAACGGTTATCCCCTGGACCTGGACGCCGTGACTGTGGGTTGTAGAATCGGGATCATGCGGTGCTCTGATGGCACTCTACACTACTTCCTGAACGGATCCGATCAGGGCCCCGCCTGTATAGATGTCCCACATGGTAAGTCAAATCACTTGGTCACGTAGTTTTACAGGGGAAATCTAGTTTGTAGGTAAGACTATTTTTCTTTATGCTTTTTAGTACTTTATAGTTTTGTTTCCACTTGCAATACATAATTTCCTGTATTTGTTTTTAGGTGTGTACGCTGTAATAGACCTATATGGACAGTGTGCTCAGGTTTCGATCACCAGTGGATCAGGAGTGTATCCATCTGCAGACAATAATCTCTTACATTCAGATCAGGCCATTATGTCTCCCTCATCGTCAGGTAACAAAAGTACTTATTATACTTTCATGTTAAATACTAAAATCTGATTGGTTTAGACGCAGGTAACAATCCGTTCGATTACCCTGAGCCTTAGCAACACACGTGACAACGGGTAACACAACGGTAATGCCACATGCGTGGAAATTATGCGCGTACGGTTCACCGTAGAATTCTCAAAACGTCAGTTGCGCGTTTGAAAGAACCGGAATTAACTTGACGTCAATAAAAGCTTGCGTCCGATATAGCTTACTTGAAAACAACAAACGACAGACGATACATGCTTGCGAGTGTAGGAAACATGCTTGCGAGCCAGAAATAACGAAACTTTATATGATAAATGACTCGAATTCGAGTATCAAACAAACAGTAAGGAGATTAGTGAACCGGTGAGTGTGAAAGCTTTCTATACATGAACGTAAAGACGATCGACGGTTATTTTTTGCTGACGTCCTAAATCAATAAGACATTCAGTATAATAAAATAAATGGTGCCTGTTTTGTAGGGTAACATTTGAAATTGACACCCCTCGGAAAACCATTGTCAACCTCCGCTGACGCGTCGGTTGACAATGGTTTTCCTTGGGGTGTCAATTTAAAATGTTACCCTACAAAACAGGCACCATTTATATAATGTCATCTCCTAGATCAAGCACTGATCAATGTCCCTTGTTTTACAGTTCATTTGTCAAACTTTATATTTAGTGGTAAAAATTTTCTGATGTATTCTCTTTTCTGATTGTTTCAGAGGTGTCTCATCGATTCAGTTTGTGTTGTGGTAAAAACATTACAATAAAGAACAATAGTTGTACAACAGCTCGGTCTACAGGCTACAATAATGCCATTGTGTTTAGTTCGGATCCTCTGAAGAGGGATGAGATGTTTGAGGTAAATCCTTAGTTTAACTGAGTTGTTGTAAAGTTTATTAGACGACAGATCATTTATATCTTGTATAAATAATAGTATTGTAATAATTAAATTTGCTCTTGACTCAAAATTTTCTTTTAGGGGGAATTTCCAAGATGTGAAAATTTTTATTAATACATGTACATGTAGAGACATTGTACATTTTTTGCTAGGTATTTTGCTACAAATGTACACTACATTCTTTTAAATAAGTTTACCTATATTGTTTACAGGTGAGAATTGACCAGGTATGTCGAGTGTGGTCAGGGTCACTACACATTGGACTGACCACTCTGGCCATATCAGACACCACCTCATCCTCCGTCATCCCAGCATCTGCCCTAGAAATGACCTCTAAACTGACCTGGCTAATAACGGGGTCAGAGGTCAGGAAAAACGGATTTGTTATCAAGGAGAATTACGCACCAGCTCTAGAGAGACTTGAGGTAAAATTCCCATTGGTTTAAGGGAGGTCACTGCATTTAATTATTGAAAATTGTGAACAGATTGTGTAGAATATAAACTATAAAGCCATCTTTAGTATTCCATGGAATATTAGGTCTTCTGTACATAAAATATTAAGCACTGTATGAAATTTCATGTATGAAATTAAAATCTAATATTTGATTTGGTGTATTTTATTATGTAAGTAGGATTTGGCTATCTGTAGCTTATTTTTCTGCTTGTTACAGGTTGGGAATCTCGTGGGCATTCGTCGAGTCTCGGACGGTACACTTCATCTGTACATTAACGGGGAGGATATGGGGGTGGCAGCCTCCAACATCCCTAAGAACGTGTTCGTGGTGATTGACCTTTACGGTCCAGTGGAGATGATCTCGATCACCAGTAGTTGTTCCTGGGACGCCTCTTTGATGGCTAGTCAGCAGTCTCAGTCGGTCATGTCAGAGTTAGCCGAGGCCGCAGACCTAGATACAGAGGAGGAATACCCCAATACGCTAGGATTCCATGTCAACCACGGTAAAAATATCATGTTGAGTAATGGTGGACTGACAGCAGAGAGAACGGAAAGTTACAACCAGGGACTGATTGTCACAAGTCAACCACTACACAAAAACCAAATGTTCCAGGTATTGCCATACATTCACCATTGAGATATATGTCAAGTACTAATACTTTTTGATACCATAACTGACTAGCGATATCATTCTATAAGTAAAGCATTCTGAGCCTTTGAAATGCAAAATTCAGATTCGTGGGATACTGAAATCTCCCTTCTTGCATGTTGTGTACCTTGCTGATAATAATGACTGGTAAATTTATGATGAAACTCGTTTGACTTTACACAGGTGCGGGTTGGACACCTGACTCCCCGCTGGAGCTTCTCTCTGATGATTGGTGTGCTGGGATTCCCTCCAGATAAGTACACCTTCCCGGTCTCCTCCATGTCTATAAAGAAGTCCTGTATCATGATCCAGGGTAGCGCGGTGTACAACTCGGGGTGCAAGGCAAGTTCTATTTTGTAGAGAGAGAGAGATTCAGAAAGCTTTCTCTTATAGGACTGTAAGTCTGACAGAAGATAAAAAGAATAAAAACTTCAAATTTATGATGGCTCATTAGAAAATATAAATTTTAAGATTGGCTCCATAATAAATTCATTTTGCTAATTAGTCATCTTGAATTTGAAGTTTTTTCTTTCTATCTTCTGTCAGACTGTTCAGTTTATTTGGTAAAAATCTGGTTGTGATGAAAATTTTTCAGAACAAGGTTAATTTTAGGCAAAAATAAAGATGATGTTTTCTGTTTGATAATTTTTTTTTATATTTATTGAAGTCGTCTCATTTTGGATGTTGTAGGTAAAAGAGAATTATGGTCCAAATCTAGATGAGCTACAAGTAGGTCATGTGATTGGGATAATGGTTGATGAAGAGTCCAATCTTCACCTGTTTTTCAATGGCGTGGATCAGGGTGTAGCTGCCAGGGACGTACCAGGCTCCTGTTATGGAGTGGTGGATCTTTATGGGAAATGCGACAAGGTAAAATAGCAAGAAGGGCAGAACAGCTAGTTTAAAAAAAAATCCATTAAGAACAAGTTTACTCATTGATTCAGTAGCTCACTATTTTGGACAGAAAACTTTTGAAGATTTTCCCACAATGTCAGTTAAATCTTTTTCATATTTGCACTTACAAGATTTAAAGAAAATATATCTATACACATGCAGGTATATACATGGGAATTCTTCTTATAACTTAATGCTGGTGTTTCAGGTGACAGTAGTTCCAAATGTGGACAGCAGTGAATCTCCTGAACCAAAACATAAAGATAAGGAGAAAGCAGAGAAGGAAGACATTGAAGAAGGTGGGGGATTTCTTGGGAAGAACGAGAACTGGATAAAGTGATCCAGTTTAATTATAAATGGTTTAAGAGATATTCAGTACAAATCATTACAAGTGCAGGACTTTTACATGGAAAAAAGGTAGATCAAAATTTAAATGAAGGACTTAATTTCTTGCATGGGAAGTGGCATCATTTATGATGGATTACTAGATGTGTTAAGAAAAAAAAAAACACACATCATTTTCACTGTATATGTTTACAAACCAAGAATAATAGGAAATCAAATGTCACATATGCCTCTAACACTACAAAAACCATGTTTCACTTCCTTAGAAAAGTAAGACTTTTTCATTCTCTTTTAATCAGTGATGAAAGAAAAGAACAGTCCAAGTGAGACCATCTTGGGTAGTGTTGTGATTCGGCCGTGTGAGTATGCCAAGACCTGCTCTAAGGTCAGGAGCCTGATGGGTATACCTGGTAAGTAACACACAGGGAGAATTACAGGTGTTCTGTCTTAATTAATAAACTTCACTTGTATCAGAAATACCATTTCCTGTCTAGTATTCCAACAGTATGTTATCAGAGATAAACTGTTACCACTTTCTATGGAGAGAAATTTTATATTAGGCTCAGATAGTCTGGTCCTGATTTTTAAAAAGAAGGCTAGAAATAACTTCTAACGGCAAATAATTATTATTTGGTCCAGCATAGTTTTTTAACCTATTTCTAGTATGCTGAATCCGAAAAAATATGCTGGCCTTCATGAAAATGGCGTTAAAGAGGTCAAAATGGCGATTCAAAATGGCGGATTTCAAATTTTCTCTTAATATCGTTCAAAATGGAGATGTAATGAGTGAATATCTAACTGGGTGTAATAAAAGTATAAAAATTATAATAGGATGCTAAAATTGTTAGTTAAACTCAGAAAATTTAGTCGTTTCTACACTTAATTCCAATTTTCTCTGATTTTTTTGTCTATTGTTTCTATATTCTTCTTTGTTCAGGATTTTACATTTGCAAATATCCATTCACTGCAGATTTATATTTTTCCCTCTACATCTCACTATTCTACAATTGAGTGATAGTGCAACTGTAAGTTAAAAGTCAAAATGGCGATTCAAAATGGCGGATATTCATCTTTTTCTTCAAATTATTTCATTCTTAATGTCGTTTACATATGAGAAAGGATTTGTGAATATTTTACTGAGCGTATTACAACTATGTAAAATGACAATAGAACACTAATTTGATCACTTTAAATAGGAAAATTTAGTCGTTAAATTTCAAAATTGTTAATTAGCTCAAAATAGCAATTTAAATGACGTCTTATACACTCAAATTTCGTAAAATACCCAAACTGCTCAATTCTGGTTCGTTTTGCAGAAAAAAAAAATTACAGTTTTTTTTTTTATTTATGAAATAATGTTCAAATATGCAATGAAAGTTGGAGGATATTTTTGTTAATGACTTAGGATTTTTATAACATGGATTTTTCTTTAATTACTTCTATTGATAAGATAGATTTTTGACGACAATTCCGAAGACATTCTACCTTTTATCTGTCTCACCATGCTTCTTCATATAAAAAGTAAATAATATCACACAATAATTGCTGTTTTGAGGACAATATGAAAATTAAACTACCCCAAGAGCACTATTCCCCGAGCATTAAGGCGAGTTAACATTCAGTTGTTGGAAATTCTTGATCTATTTTTAGTCCAGTGTAGGAAAAAAAGTTTAATAAATGTTCAGATGTAGTGTAACATAACTTAGTATGATTTTAAAATGATTGACCACGATCAATTATAGGGCTAGTAATTGTTACATATTATGAATTTGAATATATTATGATATCCAAATATAAACATATATATTAAGAATTATCAGCATAATATACGTAAACCATAAATTTTCTTGATTGTCCAGCTCTGATTCTGTATCCCTTCATTTGCATTTTGTTATTCTCAGTCAAAAATAAAACTGCATTCTAAAATATTTCATGCTGTGAACGGATAATTTTGTATTGAATAGTGTACATAAATTTAAAAATTTTGAAATTTACAAAAATCTGAAAGAAGAAAATGTTTGTGTTCAATCCCCCCTCGATTCTTGATAAACCTTACACTATCCTAACAAAGAAGTGTGGATCAAGTTCCCTTGTAAAGTTCTTGAAGTGTTCAAAAAAAAATTTGTTTTCAAGAGAAGTGTTGACTAGATCGAAATCAGGAATTGCTTAGGTCTAATGATACGAAAGCTTGTAAGTGATAGGAATCACGAGGAATCTGCAGGCGCTCTTAAATTGCATAATTTTACAACTTTTCTCACCAAAATATGCACACAATGTCATTTCAGATGATCAAGTTTGAGAATTTTTTGCAAATAGAATGTCCTTTCTACTCTAAAAGACAACAAAAGCTATACGAGGTCACAAAATAAAAAGCTACATGTCTTGAATATCAGAGATTTTTTTAATAATCCCGCTTGAAAAGCGGGAGGGTAAACAGCAATCGGTACAGACTAATCGGTGTATGTCCGTCCGTCTGTTACGCTTTGAGGTATCCATCTCTTATTCGCAACTCCTCTAATACCACTGAATGAAATTTGATGAAACTTTCACAGAATCTTTATTACATTATATTGCCATAGCTGCAGAACTGTAGCTCTCCGAAAATTTATATTGACAGACCGGAGAGCTACAGTGCCGTCCATTCAAAAAACTGTATATCTATTGCGCACGAAAATGTGCGCTGTTTCTCGATTTATTTTTTAAGACTGTCATCTCAAAATATTACTAACCAAGTGTTCCTAACACATTCTTCCACTGTTTCCAGAACAAAACATTCCTTACAATCGTTTTTCATAGCCCTCCTGGACCTTAAATTGAGATCGTCGTAAATTTCGCCTGTTTATACTGCCATTTTTGGTTTGCAAGATGATTCGGTCCAATGCGCTTCGTACCGATGTAAACTACGAGATTAACTGGTATAGGAGTAGTGACTTTTTTGAAATCTAGCTTTTTTGCAATTGAGGTAAGAATTTGCAAGAAATAATCCAGAACCGAGCGCACTTTTTTGTGCGCAATTTTTTCAATGGGTGGCACTGTAGCTCTCCGGTCTGTCACTATATATTTTTCCGGAGAGCTACAGTTCTGCAGCTAATATTACCATTGTGACCTCCTATTTTACTTTTTGATCCGACACATATTTTTGGTTTCCCAAAGCAAAACATGGACACTGTCATTATATTCAAATGGGAGACCGAGGTATCACTTAGTGAGCTAATTGCTCTCAGTATTCTAGTTCATTTTGCATACGGTTTTGGAAAACAAAATAGACTTTTAACATTTGAACATAAATGTGTTAATCCTTGAGTGTTGGTTGATTGATTGTATATTGTTTAACGCCGAGTCTGCAATTTTTCAGCCATGTTTTGGCGGACTATCAGTTTAAATAATCGGTTTTAGAAGGATTTTGGTTTCTCTGGCGGCCCCCAGTGAGCTTACTCTTTTTCGAACTCCAGAGAAACGATCTTTTACATGCCAAGGGGGTTATCATCCTTGACCCGGGACACCATTTTACTTGAGTGTTGAAAATACCAAACTTCTGATGACAGACTGAAACATATATCAAATAAATCTGGAATAGGAGATGTTAGAGGTTAATACTAAGTTGTCATAAGTGCTAAAAAGCTAGAACAAAGTGTTTAATGAAATCGGTCAAGAATTTCTTCAGTTATTAGGTGGTGTGCCAAGGGATGTTGAGGTAAAAGTGCGAGTTGATAATGACAGGATTTGGAAACTCTTAAGTCGAGTTTGTTTTAACTATTTCCAGAAGAAATGAACCTTTTCAAGTATTTTGTTCATAATGAATGGACTTATCAATATACTATATATATATATATATATATATATATATATATATATATATATATATATATATATATATATATATATATATATATATATATAAAACAAACTGTAATGTATTTTCTGCAAAACGAACCAGAATTAAGCAGTTTCTACGAAATTCGATTGTATCAGACGTCATTTTGAATCGCCATTTTGAGCTAATTGATTAACACATTTCAAATTTAAACGACTAAATTTTCCGATTGAAAGTGATCAAATAAGTGTTCTGTTGGCATTTTACATAGTTGTAATACGCTCAGTAAGATATACACAATTCCTTTCTCCTATGTAAACGACATTAAGAAATAATTTAAAATTAAAAAATGATGAATATATATCCGCCATTTTGAATCGCCATTAAGACTTTTAACTTACAGCTGTGCCATCATTCAGTTGTAGAATAGTGAGATGCAGAAGAAAAATTACAAATCTGCAGTGTATGGATATTTGTAAATGTAAAATCCTGAACAAAGCGGAATAAACAACAATAGACCAAAAAATCAGAGAAAATTCGAATTAAGTGTAGAAACGACTAAATTTTCTGAGTTAAACTAACAATGTTAGCATTCTGTTTTTATTTTTATACTTGAATTACACTCAGTGAGATATTCACACATTATTTCTCCTTTTTGAACGATATTAAGAGAAAATTAGAAAAATTGGATGTCCGCCATTTTGAATCGCCATTTTGACCTCTTTAATGCCATTTTCATGCAGGCCAGCATATTTTTTCGGATTCAGCATACTCGAAATAGGTTAAAAAACTATGCTGGACCAAATAATAATTATTTGCCGTTAGAAGTATTTTTTTCGATAAATCGGACCAGACTAAGATAGATACATGTATTTAGACTGTACACTTCCTGGACACTCCAATTTCAGAGGGATTTTTCCAAGAACAGCAGATGACGTGTTACTGCGAGTCTTGCCATAAACTGAGGTCGGAGGATCTGTATCTTAGGAGGGGGGAGCCACCCAGGGAGTATGCGGTGCCCCTGGGGTGGTGCCGATATATTCTCAAGTGAGTCTCACTAAGTCATCAAACTTAACCAAAATATTGAATTTACTAGATACACATGTTTTGTGAAAGTATCATTATACATTAAGTTCATGTACATCATTGAATATAAATGTCATATGGTAAATGTTATTCTAAATTGTAGACAACGCCAGAAAGCGCCGTCTTTTGTGGCGTCTGACAAGTGGCATGTGGCGTATTATGGTACACAGCTCGAGGTCCTCAGAAAAATCCTGGATACTGGGGATATACACACCTGTAGTGAGTACAGTTACAACCTTATCTGAAAGTGGTCTTATTAATTAAAACAAGATCAACTTCAATTAATCTGTTTGTCAGGCTTCAGAAACCAATCATTTCAAACATGTTTGAGGAAAACTTTCATAAATTTATATCTGTATGAAAATAAAAAAAAAAAAATGAACAGTTCCAATAAAAGAGGATCAATGAATTTTTTTCAAATTTACATATGCATTTACCTGTGTGTCATATTCTTAGTATATTATCAGCTGTTGTTTACCACAAACTGATTGATGTATTGAATATGAACTGCCTGATGTAACCCTTTTGATGTTAGAGAGGTTTATGTTTGTAGATGATCAGATGGGAGGAGGTAGTACTCTGCTACCTCAGTCAGTACCATTCACGGAGAAATCCCGTCCCGACAGTTCTAGTCTCAGACAAATTCTAATGTCTCCCACCATACGATACATAGGATGTAACGAGTTCTCACCCAAATTCAAGTAAGTCTCAGAAAAATTCTCATGTCTCCTAACAGGTCTTTTGTGGGCTTAGTGCTTACTGTACTTGTAGTTTTTTTTTTTTTTTATAAATCCTGGGATATACTCATGAAATTACATCAAAATAAAATACACAATATATAGTAATTCCAATATAATTTTAATCATATAATGTACATGTCATAGAACCACATATAAATATAGATTTAGGTCCATTACAAATACACTGTACATGTATGTTATATTTCCAGGTTACTGGAGCCGAGAACCAAGAGGACATTCCATGTTCGTGTAGCATTTCAGGTTTGGTTAAAGCCTGGCTCTTATAAAGTAGGACCTCAGAGTCTTGGGCTCAATGAACAAATAGATCCACAATTCTCCAACAATGAGTTAGAGTGGGCCACAAAGGAGAGAGGATCAGTACTGTTACATGGACTGCTTATCAAAATAGAAAACTTATAGACATGACTCCACATGTAGAAACTCAGAATCACTTCATGTTGGTCGTTTTACATGATGGTGTTTGTTTAGTCAATATAAATCAAGTACAGTTTCCTGTTTTTGCTACAGGTTGTATACATTATAAAAGACTAATATAGAGTATCAAAATCTTTGTTTTAATTTCAAAGAAGGGAATAAGTGTGGACTGTTAGTCAAATTCTTTTTGTTCTGAATTCAAATATTTTTCTTAATTCTAACTGTGCTGATTGGACACTACATGTATAAGAACATACCAATATTTTTTTTTACAAGGACAATTTTTTAAAGAATTCAAAATTATTTGAATCAATTTGTCCATACCTCAATTTTTGACGTAAAAACATTGTATTTGTTTAAACAAAGATTCCTAAAGCAGGGGTAATAAATTATATAAATGTAAATAGTTGTGCAGTTCACTCCTATTTCCTGACCTGTAAATCCATGGATAACTTTACAATCCATGAAAATATGCTTCAGATTTACATTTTTTTTTCAGTATGAGATAAAATTTTAGAATCTACAGACTTTAATCCTAATGTTTGCACTGTTTTGTTATATTTTTGTTGTTTTGCTTTTATTTATAATACAGATTTTTCAATAACATTAAGTATTTATTGTTAAGCTCTTTGATTCACAAAGAGTAGGAAGTGCTAGACTGTGTGTATGAATTGTTCTAATAATATGAATGAATGTATGAGAATAAGATATTGTGAGGTGTTGTTGTTTATTTGTGTATCCTGGAATTCTGTGTGAATTAATAGTAACACCTCAAAACCCTTACAGTTACAGTTTTGTTCCAAGTCTAACTTAAAAGTACAATGCATGTATACATGTAATACTGCTGGATGTTAAAAAAGCCCAGCCAAATTTTTAATATGAACTAACAACAATTTTTTATACTGTGTGACTGTCAAATGACTTTCACACATGATTCATAGAAATATAGTTCTACATTACTTTGTATGTTAGTAGTCATACTTGTTTTACAACTTACATTAACTGTTTGCATGGATAAAATTCATGATATTGATGAGTATATGTTCATTTCCTTGTCAGAAAACTTACATTCACTTGTACTTTGTCATTGGCATTGATCTCAATCCAAATCCATTTTTTGTGTGTATATGTCTGTAAGACTCCAAAGTGCGATGGTAACGCCAATGTCCGATGGTCTCGCCAAACCCCGATGGCTCACCGTCTTTACGGACTCTAAAGTCCGATGGTCACACTGAAGTCCGATGGCTCGTTTCTTATGAGACACGTTAACGTTTAAGTGCGATGGTCTGATACGCCAAGGTCCGATGGTTGAAAGAACAATCAACGTTTAATGACGTCATAATAGTCCGACGTCATGACGTTGCCCTGCATTCAAATTCCATTGATTCAGTATTCGTCTCCATACAATTGTACAGATTTTGTTTATTGTTTTTGCCCACCAGAGGTATTAGGGTTAGTCCTTGTACGCAATTTGACTGATAAGGGTTACTTTTTGAACGCAAATATGTTTCTTCGAACCCATCCGAGAGATTAGGGGTTAGTCCTCGCGCACCATTGGACTTATTTGGATCAGCCCTGCAACTACCCAAGATATTTAGATTATAGAGTTGTTACGCGTTTTTTGACTGATAAATGTTAGTATTGTACCTATATCCAAAAGATGAGGGTTAGTCTTATAGTTTGTATCTATGATGTTTTGTATTTTTTTTTTTTTTTTAAATTGGTACTTGGCATCGAGCGGCATCGCAGTTTGGCACAGCAGTACTGTGACGTCATAAACGTTAATTGTTTTCTGCACCGTCGGATTTTGGTGTGTCAAACCATCGTGGTTTGGCGCAGACCATCGGACTTTGGTGTGACCATCGGACTTTGGGAGTCCCATCACACTTTTGGAGTCCTTACATGTCTATGAATGCATGTTTACTCCACAGTGAATAAAAATGAAGAAAAATTGAAGTCTTCCTATTGTTTTTTTTCTAAATTCTATCAATATGAAAAAAATGTTTAAATGAAATTGCTTTCATATAAATAAAAGGGCTAATAAACTTTACCAGCTTCCATTAAATGCAGTATGAATATATTTTCTACAAGTGAACTTGCAGTTCTGCGTGATGTAAAGAAAATCATTAGGAAATAACAAAATTTGAAGCTGATTGTTTCTTTTTAAATACTCAACAGGGATAAAAGTATTTTAAAATCTGAGATTTCAGGATCATTTGTTACTTTTAACATTGATTTATACATGTACATGTAAGAAAGTTAAATGAAACTCGTTATAATTTCCGTTCTAACAATTTATTTATTAAGTACATTCAAATTTGATAAAATTAACATTCACTCTTATTTTGAATATTTGTAGGAAAATGAAAAAGAAATACGATTAAAGCAGAAGAAAATGACTCGTGATATTGTTCCTGGTTAAAGCGTTGAAGTGACCTCAGATAAAGTGAAACTGAAAGTAAATCAACATGAACATGCGATTGTGCAAGATTTTCATCTATGGTACTCCAATAATAGCTTTTAGTAATATTTAATCCCTATTCGACTTTGATTTTGAATACTTGACATGTCTTTGAAAGTACAGGAATTATTTGGGGGAGCCCTCATTGTTCAACTTCCAGACAACGCTACGGACATAAGGTAGCCTAAGCCTAGGAATAGTGTTTTGTGACTAATTTTTGTCAATACAATTTAGATAGGAAGAGTCTATGACACTCTTTGCAAATGCCTGTACTTGCACAGTAATTTCTATTGTACATAAGTCTCTTCAGCTACCTAATGTATTCAGAGATGTGTACAGTGTATTTTTTATGATGAATGAGTATGTGTATAAGCAAACAAAGCATTCTTTGAATTGAGTTAATTTTTTACCCCCAAACTGCATTCTGCATAGCTCCCTGTTTTATAAGTATCTGTAGGTGTATCTCACTGAATATTTAAGGACTTTGTGTCTATAAGGGGGTGGAGATAGGTGGAAGGGGGGGGGGATCAGGTGATAGAAATGACATTGTCATTGCACATAAGGGGACGACCATTTGATCCTGAGGGGGGGGGCCTGGCAAATTTTTTTGAGACGGATTATTTATTTTCATGCCTGTGGAGGACAGATTATTTATTTTCAAGATTATCAAGGACAGATTTTTTATTTTCTTCTTCGTCTTACGGTATCTTGATCAATAAATTCTAAAGGACGAATCATTCATATACCATAGGCGGATACAGGATTTGGAGAGGGGGCGCGTATAACCTCGTTTAGGAGAGGTCTGGGTCCTGGGTGACGCGAAGGGGGTGACGCGAAGGGATTGGTTAGTTATGTGCCAAAGTATGACATTATTAATACTAGTCATCTCATACTTTGAATGAAAAGGCCTTAGGGGGCAAAGCCCCCTGAAGCTCTTGGTCTACGTGTATTTAAAGAGAAAAACTAGGCATCAAAATATTGATATTGTACCAAAGTATGGAATTATTATTCGTATCATACTTTGAAATTTTAGGGAGGGGCCGTACACATGTACGTCCCCCTTCAAATCCACCATTGTATATTTTGTAGTAATTTATCGGGGAAGTATAATTCTTTAACAAGAAAATTCGTCTTTTGCGGTGTATAAGAATTGGCTTGTATTTAAAGTGAATCATCACACCTACTAAGTGCACATTGTCATGTTGATAAACTAACTACAAGTATCCAGTCTGGTAATCTGATTTTGAATACTATTTGGTTCTAAAAGGGCGAGCGAAGCGAGCCAAAAAAATTGTCAAATTGAAGATTTTTTAGATTAAATTACATGTAAATAAAATGTATTTTTCACAATATTTAAATATCATAAGTCAAGGTCAGATTATTTATTTTCTTTGTAGTGGAGGACAGATTATTTATTTTCAACATTTTCAGGGACAGATTATTTATTTCCAAAATCTGCCAGACCCCCACCTCAGAATTAAATGGTAGTCCCCTAACTTTCAGGCACAGAATATTTCCTCTTCCATATATTAATATGTTTTTAAATAAATTGCAGTATGGACCAAAAAAAAAATTATTTTGTTAGGAGTAAGTACTTGATATTTCCACAGTTTTACTATATATACACAGTATTCTGCTTTCTGTAATATTAGATTGTCTCTTGTAATCTTGATTAGCTTTAGATCAAATGTTATCTTTTGTGTTTTCGGAATTTGATGAATTGATCAGGTGCTGTTGCTGATGTGATGCCCTCAACCATTTTCTTAAACATGCAGCTGCTCTAGGCAATAAATTGTATAGGCCCACACTGTACAATGGACACTTCTAAGAAGATACTGTAGATATCTTCAGTATTTTAATATTTCAAACACATTTCGAGAAATCAGATTATGATGTTATACTTTATTATTTAGTGACATTCGCCAGATTCCTGATAACCAGGAAGTGTTTGCTCACCCAGTCACAGACCAGAGTATAATCATAGAGATCCTGGAGTATGTGGACAAAGATGACGAAGAAGCAATTAAGTAAGTGTCAGAAGACCTGTAATATAGTGTAAAAAGTAACCAAACAGTATAGTGTCAGTAACCACAATAAAGTACCAGTAACCCAGAAATGAAGTTCCAGTAACTCAGCAATGAAATGTTAGTAACTCAGCAAAAAAGTAAATTTCAGTAACCCAGCAATAAAATGTAAGTAACTTGGCAATAAAGTAAATTTCAGTATGAAAGCATTAAAATTTCAGTATCTAAGTGATAAAGTTTCAGTAACACAGTACTTAATAAAGAGTCAGTAACTCAACAATAAAGAGTCAGTAACTCAACAATAAAGAGTCAGTAACTCAACAATAAAGAGTCAGTAACTCAACAATAAAGTATCAGTAACTCAGCAATAAAGTGTCAGTAACTCAACAATAAAGTAAATTTCAGTAACTCAGCAATAAAATGTCAATAATTCAGCAATAAAGTGTCAGTAACTCAACAATAAAGTTTCAATAACTCAACAATAAAGTGTCAATAACCCAGCAATAAAATATCAGTAACTCAACAATAAAGTGTCAGTTACTCAACAATAAAGTGTCGGTAACTCAACAATAAAAGTCAGTAACTTAACAATAAAGTGTCAGTAATTCAGCAATAAATTGTCAGTAACTCAACAATAAAGTGTCAATAATTCAGCAATAAATTGTCAGTAACTTAACTATAAAATGTTAGTAACTCAGCAATAAAGTAAATGTCAGTAACACAGCGAAAAAGTGTTTGTAACCCAGCAATAAAGTAAATGTCAGTAACTCAGCAATAAAATAATATCAGTAACCCAGCAATAAAATATAAGTAACTCAACAATAAAGTGTCAGTAACTCAACAATAAAGTGTCAGTAACTAAGCAATAAAGTGTCAATAACCCAGCAATAAAGTGTCAGTAACTCAACAATAAAGTGTCAATAACCCAGCAATAAAGTGTCAATACTTCAGCTATAAAGTGTCAGTAACTCAACAATAAAGTTTCAGTAACTCAGCAATAAAGTGTCAATAACTCAGTAAAGTGTCAGTAACTCAACAATAAAATGTCAGTAACTCAACAATAAAGTGTCAGTAACTCACCAATAAAGTGTCAGTAACTCAACAATAAAGTGTCAGTAACTCAACAATAAAGTGTCAGTAACTCAACAATAAAGTGTCAATAACCGAGCAATAAAATATCAGTAACCCAGCAATAAAGTGTCAGTAACTCAGCAATGAATTATCAGTAACTCAACAATAAAGTGTCGGTAACTCAACAATAAAAGTCAGTAACTCAACAATAAAGTGTCAGTAACTCAGCAATAAATTATCAGTAACTCAACAATAAAGTGTCAGTAACTCAACAATAAAGTGTCAATAACTCAGCAATAAATTGTCAGTAACTTAACAATAAAATGTCAGTAACTCAGCATTAAAGTAAATGTCAGTAACACAGTGATAAAATGTTTGTAACCCAGCAATAAAGTAAATATCAGTAACTCAGCAATAAAATAATGTCAGTAACCCAGCAAAAAATATCAGTAACTCATCAATAAAGTGTCAGTAACTCAACAATAAAGTTAATGTCAGTAACCAAGCAATAAAGTGTATTTCAGTAACCCAGCAATAAAATGTCAGTAACTCAACAATAAATTGTCAATAACTCAACAATAAAGTGTCAGTAACTCAGCAATAAATTGTCAGTAACTCAACAATTAAATGTAAGTAACTCAACAATAAAGTGTCAGTAACTCAACAATAAATTGTCAGTAACTCAACAATAAAGTGTCAGTAACTCAACAATAAAGTGTCAGTAACTCAACAGAAAAATATCAGTAACTTAGCAATAAAGTGTCAGTAACTCAACAATAAAGTGTCAGTAACTCAACAATGAAGTGTCAGTAACTAAGCAATAAAGTGTCAATAACTCAGCAATAAAGTGTAAGTAACTCAGCAATAAAATATCAGTAACTCAGTATTTATGTACCAGTATTCCTGCAAAAAATAGTGTCAGTTAACCAGTCACTAAGCAGAATATCTCAATCAACCTTGAGTTTCTGAAATATACAATTATGAGGAGAAAGCTGATGGAATGATGTATGAAATGATGTTGCTTTCAGACAGACATGGTCTTAATCATGTATTATAGCTGAGATATAAAAAATATTAAATTTTCAGATAAAATTGTACATGTTTTTAATAGACCTGTGCACTGAGCTATTTAAAGATTTCTTAATTGGGCCCTTTTTAGTTTGGATTTTGGATGGATCCATGGTGTTTAACTGTACTCCTCAAAGGTAACAATGTGTTATTGTTAGTATGAACTCTCAGGATTTTCATTGTCATGCCTGTTTTACAGGACCCACTTTAGTGACCTGGCTTCTGACAATGACGTGCAGAGTGGAGATGCTGCTATTGTACAGATTGAGGAAATCCCTAACACTGATCTTAAAATGACGCAGTAAGTCACAAACTGCATGTCTATAAAATCAACCTGCGGGTTCTTAGTTTCAGATATCTGGTAAGAAAGGATATAATGATAATTTACATGGAAAGATTGAAATTTTTAATGTTTTTTATTTAGGTGTGACAATGCCTATTATGTCCTAGGACAACAGAATGTCTCCAAATTTAATGAGGCAGCTAAAAACACAGTAGACATGCACATTGGTCTTTTTCGTATCTCTAAATTTACCTCAGATATACTGGTGACCTTCAACAATCCTTCATCTATCAAGTAAGTGAATTATATATATATATGTTACGATGCTACACAAATACTTTATAGGTTGATGTTCAGATGTAGCTGTAACTTGATGAGAGTGTCTTGTACAAAGATTCTCAATTGACTAAATGAATTGGACCATTTCAGATGAACAGTTTCTTTGAATCTTTAAACATATTTTATTGTAATGCATAAAATAACTAGTTCTAATTGTAACGGGGACCGTTACAGATGTTCCCCAAACGCTTCCCAACTCCCTTTTTGTGCAAATTTAATTTAAAACTTTTTTCAATATGCTTAGTATCGCAGGATTTCATAAAAAGAATTTAAAAGCTACCATGATATCAACTTTTTGTCATTTCACGCATTGTTCGCAAATGCACGTGCATGCACATGCAAGGTGATCATGACATGTGTCTAAACCAATAACATATCTTTATATTCCAGAAATCAATTAAAAGTCATAAAAATATAAATTTTAGCGTTTTTTAAACATATTGTTCATTTTTACGCATTGCGTGTGCGCATGTGCATGCAAGCACGTCCTTTGCATTCAATTTTGATAGCAATATCATGTAGGAATCCATAATACTTATTCATATTCTAAAATTCATCCTGTTTTGTTGAGAAACAAGAAAGATATAGGCATGTAAAGTTTCAGCCAATCAGATTGCAGCACACGTGGATTTATGTGCTTTCATGATAATTCTTATATATCATCATTATATGTGACTAAGCTCAAAATTTCAAAGGATTACGACGTAAAACAAGAAAGATTTTGAGACTTTAGTTTCAGCCAATCAGAGCAAAGCGCACGTGCATGCGCGTAAGATCTTGCAATTTTGACCATGTCATCTTGTCCATACTACTACTATATTCATGCATTGTGAGTTTCAAAAAATTCCATCAAGAAAAAGTAAAGTTACGGCTTCATCCATGGTCTTGGTTATTTCACATGTTGCACGTGCGCGCTCTTGGCAACACATGCGCATGTACGTGCTTTCATGAAAATTATTATATACCATGCTGTAGATCTTCATAATGTGTGACTAAGTTCAAAATTTCAAAGTATTGTGACGAAAAACAAGAAAGATATTGAGACTTTAGTTTCAGCCAATCAGAGCGAAGTGCACGTGCATGCGCGTGAGATCTTGCTATTTTGACTATGTCAACACGTCTATACTACTAATATATACTTATATTATGAGTATCAAAGCATATAATCAAAAAATAAAAAAGTTACGGCTGTTTCTATTATTTTGGTCATTTCACGCATTGCACGTGCGCGCTCTTGCAAGCACGTGCGCGCAAAATGACCTTCGTTCCGCAAATCTACATAACATGCCTACTGATCCTAAAAAGGTTTCACCTAGGTCGGACGTGTAGTTTACAAGATCATTCGCGGAAAAGATTTTCCCAGGAAGAAGAAAAATAATAATAATAATAATAATAACTAGGGCTAATTGTAACGGGAACCGTTACAGATGTTCCCCAAACGCTCCCCAACTCCCTTTTGGTGCCTTATTCCCTGTAAGCTTCATTAAATAAGACGAACTCTATGCCTTTTAGACTATAACAATGTTTTCCCAGAAGTATATTCAGTATATTCAAATTTATGCATTGCACGCATGCGCATTTGAATGCATGTGCGTAATGACCATATCATCTTGTCGACACTTTATATACTAGAAATTACAGCGTTTTATCCAAAAGAATTAAAAAATACCTTTTAATCTAGTGTATTTGTAATTTTACTCATTTCACGTGCACGCACGTGCATGCATGTGCATGTCGACTGTATCTTCTTGTAGGAGTCTGTTATGTTTGTCTATGTTCTAAATCCCATCCTGTTTGGTTGAAAAACGAGGAAGTTATAGCCATTTTAAGTTTAAGCCAATCAGATTGCAGCGCACGTGTATGCGCATGTTTTCACGACAACTGTTATATATCATATTGTAGGACATCCTAATGCATGATTATGTTTAAAATTTTAAAGCATTAATTAAAAAGAGATATTGCGATTTTTGTTTCAGCGAATCACAGCAAAGCACACGTGCATGCACGTGCATGCATGCGCATGATGACCATACCTCCTTGTGGGAGTCCATTATGTTTATCTATGTTCTAAATCCCATACTGTTTCGTTGAAAAACAAGGGAGTTATAGCCATTTAAAGTTTAAGCCAATCAGATTGCAGCACACGTGCATGCGCGTGTTTACATGACAATTGTTATATATCATATTGTAGTACATGCTAAAGTATGCCTATATTTTAAATTTCATAGCATTTCGTCAAAAAACAGAAAAGATATTGAGATTTTTGTTGCAGCCAATCAGAGCGAAGCGCACGTGCATGCGCGTGAGTTCTTGCTAATTTGACAGTGTCACATTATCTACACTATTAATATATCCTTATTAAATGAGTTTTAAAATATTTCATCAAAAAATGTAAAAGTTATGGCTATATAAAGTATATCCGTCATTTCACTCATTTCACGCGCCCACACGTGCATGCGTATGCGCGCAAAATAACCTTCGTGTTGCACACCTACACTACACACCTATTAACCCTAAAAATGTTTTAGCTCAGTTGGGTGAACAGTTTCTGAGAACACTCGCGGACAAAAAAAGTACCGGAGAACAAAGAAGAAAAAAAAGAATAATAACTAGTGCTAATTGTAACGGGAACCGTTACAGATGTTCCCCAAACGCTCCCCAACTCCCTTTCGGTGCCATATCCCCTGTAAGCTTCATTAAATAAGACAAACTCTGTGCATTTTTGACTTTAACAATGTTTTCCCAGAAGGATATCAATTATATTCAATTTTTAGCATTGCACCCAAGCGCATGTGAATGCATGTGCGTTATGACCATATCATCTTGTCTACACTACTTATATATTTCAATATACTATATATTAGAGCATTCAGTCCAAAAGTAATAAAAATCACTCATTCAAGAGTATTTTTAAATATACTCGTTTCAAATGCACGCACGTGCGTGCACGTGCATTATGATAATACCTTCTTGTAGGAGTCCCTTACATCTATCTATGTTCTAAATCCCATCCTGTTTGGTTGAAAAACAAGGTAGTTATAGCCATTTAAAGTTTCAGCCAATCAGATTTCAGCACACGTGCATGCGCGTAATTTCATGATTTTTTTAATATCATTTTGTAGGATATCCTAATGCATGACTATATTTTAAATTTCTAAGAATTTCGTCCAAAAACAAAGGATAAATAGTTATTTAAAGTTTCAGCCAATCAGATTGCAGCACACGTGCATGCGCGTGATTTCATGATTTTTTTCTATATCATTTTGTAGGATATCCTAATGCCTGACTATATTTTAAATTTCAAAGAATTTCGTCAAAAAACAAAGGAAAAATAGCCATTTAAAGTTTCAGCCAATCAGATTGCAGCACACGTGCATGCGCGAAATTTCATGATTTTTTTTCTATATCATTTTGTAGGATATCCTAATGCCTGACTATATTTTAAATTTCAAAGAATTTCGTCAAAAAACAAAGGAGATATTGCCATTTAAAGTTTCAGCCAATCAGCTTGCAGCACGCGCACATGCGCATGCTTTCATGAAAATTCTTATACATCATGTGGTAGATCTTCATAATGTAGGACTATGTTCAAAATTTCAAAGGATTATGACAAGAAACAAGAAAGTTATTGAGACTTTAATTTCAGCCAATCAGAGGCAAGCGCACGTGCATGCGCGTGAGATCTTGCTATTTTGACCATGCTATCTTGTCTATACTACTAATGTATCCTTACATTATGAGTTTCAAAAAAATTCATCATAAAATAGAAAAGTTACGGCAATATCCATTATATTGGTAATTTCACATGTTGCACGTGCGCGCTCTTGCAAGCACGTGCGCGCAACATGACCTTTGTTTGGCAACTCTACATAACATGCCTACTGACCCTAAAAAGGTTTCACCTAAGTCGGATGTGTAGTTTACAAGATCACTCGTGGACAAAATTTTCCCAGGAAGAAGAAAAATAATAATAATAATAATAATAATAATAATAATAATAATAAGAAACAGAGTAAAACAAATATGTTCCCCAACTTCGTTTGGGGAACATAATAAGAACTAGATATGAAACTCGTTGCGAGCAACGAGAGGTCTTCCGTCCAATTCCGGAAAGAAGACGTAAAATCGAGCTGAAAAAGTAAAAAAAGATTTGCACACAAGGAGGATTAAACCCAAGTCGCTAGCATGAAATTCCAACGCACTAAATATTACGCTATCGGGACCTCTACTCTAAATCTACTTGTATATATTAACGAATATGCTTCTCTCTTAAAATTATGAAAGGCAGGTCACTTTTCAAAATTTAGCGCCAAACGCCACGATTTAATCTTCGCGTTTTTTCTTTGGGATGTTCTATTAAATAGGTGTGATAGCTTCAATGAAATTAAAAAAAGAACGTTCTTATAGCCTAAGATTCGAGATTTAGAAAGTAGATATAACACATTTTAAAAATTCCATATTGTATATATGCATGTAACACTTAAGCGGTGAAACGGTTATGAATTTTTTTTCCTTCAATTTCCTGCTTATCCCCAAACTGAACTATCCCGATTAGTTAATTGAAAAAGTTTGAAACGTTTCGCCGAAATACATGGCTCGCCCTTTGATGGTCAAGGAATCAGAAATCATTTATGCTCAATAACTTGAATAAGGTCTTTGAAACAAGAAAGCTAAAATAAACTCCATGAAGCGATCTTTAAAAAAAAAATCATTTTCTTATTTTGTCTTATTTATTAGTTTAATATGACACAAGTGTGCATAGGAAAAAACAGTGGTTAAGATTTATACTGACAATATTAATTGATATTCTTTTTGAGAAAGTATTACTTATAAGTTTTTTCGTAATGCACAAAAGATATTAGGTATCGAATTTCATTTGCACATTTTGCACAATCGTCTTTTGTTTACCTACTTTGAAAACCAGCCAAAACCAATTATAGAAGACGTTAGTTTGACACAGAACTGCAACAAAACTACGACGTGACAATCCAAGTATTCCTTTACATTTCATTTAGTCTTATGTTACTTTCGTTCAAGCAAACGCTCGGCTGCCTCCGTAAACCACAATTGCGAAATGTCGGCGTTGAAAGAGACAGCCGCCATTTTGGACCCGCTTCAGATTTTTGAATGCTAATATCTAGAGTTTAGATTTATTAACATTCAAACAAATTAAATAGTAAGCATTATACAGAGGGCTTCTATTACCATACCAAATATAAATGAAAAATACTGAAAAACAAAAAAGTTAGAAAATACGAATTTTTTAAGTTTGCAATTCGTTACGACCGGAAGTACTGATGACGTACGAAAAGGCGATTCTGCAAACCACAAAGTCATGATCTATCATCTCCAATAAGTCTCCAGTTCATATCCTTAGCAATTTTCGAAAAAGGGGCGACAAAATCGCATTTTAAAATCAGGAAATTGTCCATAACTTGGCACCAGAAGCGAATTCTCCAAATTTCTCTTCGGATGTAACAACTTCATATAATGACACATGTTTTGTGAAAGATTCGTGAAAAACCGCTGAATAGTTTTCGAGAAATCGCCTGCACAAAATTTTGTCAAAAAAAAGAATAATAAGAATAATAATAAGAAACAGTAGAATCACTATAAGGTCTTCCGTGAAGACGGAAGACCTTAACTAGAGCAAAGCTCGTTGCAAAGCAACGAGTAGGTCTTCCGTCCGGTTTTGACCGGAAGTGCCGGAAATGACGGAACAAAATAAAGCAATGAGCTAAGTAGTCTCCAGTGACTTTATAATTTCAATTTTGCATCAAAACCTTCAAAAGAAGCCATTTTTTGCTACTTCCGGTTTGACCGGAAGTGACGACGACGGACGGAAAAATTACTTTTCATGCTCCCAGAGACAAATGTAACCCAAAATCTTGTCGAGAACGGCAAAAAACGCGTTTTCCGACTACTTCCGGTTTGGCCGGAAGTGACGTCACCGGACGTATTTTGACGACTCCAAAAAATTAAGCTTGAAATTTTGAACAACTTTGCTTCTTTGACGTATTACAAATTCTCAATACTTTTTGAGATATAAAGAAAAAACTTTCGGCCCCTCTCAGCCCCTGATTTAAGGGGCCAGCCCTTTTTCCGAGGTATCAGTTGAAAGATCTTGGAATTCTATACTTTTTTTGTTCTACATATTTTAACAAAATATTTCCAGGTAAAAAGATATCGTAGAAAAAGTGTCAAAAATTTTGCAATTCGTGATAGGACTTTTTTCAGCCCATAGCGAGCGCCGACGTGCGGCACTTCCGGAGAAAGAGAGTGGTGTGTGACAAAAGAGCACACGTTGCTCTATCATCGCTGAAAATCTCATGTTTCTGTCTTAAGGCATTTTCGAGAAAAATGATGGACAATGAGACCCCCTGAAAATCACTAAATCGCGGAAATCTCAAAACCGGAAGTGACGTCATCAAAACAAAAAATTATATATCAGGTTTGTTTGATGTTCTATCAGTCCTGAAAGTTTCATGAAAATCTATCCAGCCGTTTTCGAGAAATTGCGTGCACAAAATCGGTAAGAAAAAAAAACAATAATAATAATAATAACTAGAGCCGTTTTTCGGGAAAATTGTGGACAAAATGACCCTTAAAAATCAGAAAATCGACGATATCTCTAGACCGGAAGTGACGTCATCGAAACGGAAAAAAACGCATAAGGTTCAAGTGATGTTCCATACGTCCTGAAAGTTTCATAAGATTTTGTTGAGCCGTTTTCGAGAAATCGCGTGCACAAAATCGGTAAGAAAAAAAATAATAATAATAAGAAAAAAAGTGAAAAAGAAACCGAAGAAAACAATAAGGTCTTCCGCTGAAGACGGAAGACCTTAATAAAAATAGTGGAAAAGAAACCTAAGAATAACAAGAAGGTCTTCCGCTGAAGACGGAAGACCTTAACTAGAAAGTCTGCTATTGCAAGCAATAGCATATGTCGCCCCGTATTAGACAAGACTTTAATTTTTATCATCATTAAAACAAAAGTCCATAAGCTAAGTTTGAACAACCATTGAGTTATATCAGTCCTTTCCATTGGAAACGGAAGACCTTAATTCGGTACATCCCACTCATTATTTTTAGAATCGGTAGGAGAAGAAAGTAGTGCAGAAAAATTACAAGTTCCTCAATTTGCAGACTTGCATAAAAGAAATCTGGCAGATGTACTGAACTGAGCCTCATACTTGTTAATTGGCAGTATCTTTCCTATGATAAAAGCTTGGGAAATGTAATTTATGAAGAAGATCAGCCGAATTATTTTGTGTATTGTAACGCCAGTGAGAACTCTGAAATTTCCCTCTTTCACTTTCATTTTAGAGGTTCTACCGAAACACGAATCTGACATGCCACCATCAATTCGAGCATTTCTGCATTGCAGAGAGCTGATGTGTGTTATGAGATGATAAATCATGTGTGAACTTTCTCAATTTAGCGGAATCATGAACATTTTCGGCGAGATGAATGTTTTGTATACAGTGGTGATCAAGGCTTTGCGAACCATCAGGAGCGGATCAAAGAATTTATGAATGAATAAAAACTATGGAAATGACGTACCAATTTTTTTAATTTATACTTGCACTATCTAATGAAATGAATAATATACAAGTGATAGATATACAAGAAAACGCGAAATGATAATAAATGCAGCTGACAATCGTTATTTTTTTTTATATAGATAAAATAAAATATTTATAAATTCAAGAGACAAAACAGAAGGAGAATGAATGATGGCAAAATATCACATGACGGGAACTGAATTTTATGAATGAAGATTTTAAAAAGTTACTTGTAAGTTGTATATGTTATATCTGTGTATTCTACTTGGCTGTGTGCTTCAAAAAAAAGGGGGGGGGGTCGTCTTGAACATAGTAAATAGCCATAACGTTTGAACGGTAAGTACTAGGGCTTTCGTATTTCAAATATGTAATCCTTGTGAAAAGAACTTTTATTGGATACGACGAACTTTGACCCTTTGACCTAGACCTTGGAGAACACATGTGTACATCTGAATCTTTTTTTCTGTTTCGTTTCTATGGCAACCGTGAGCGACTCATTACAATTATTTTGAAAGTAGAAATCACTTTGACACATTGCAAGGAATAAACATTGAAAGTTTCAAAACGATTGCCTGAGTAGTTATTGAGAAAATCGAAATTAAAGAATTTTAACTTTGACCTGGTTTCCATGGCAATAATCGATTATATGAAAATTTTAAATACGAGTTGCAGAACTACAGATACTAATCATTAAAATAAGAAAAGTTTCATGACGAACGTTTAAGGGACCAGAGAGAACACTCTCGGACAAAATTTGTCGCTTTTTACAGGTTTCCATGGCAACGGTAGACATATTGGAACTGAACGACCTCACTGCACAACTACAACCAGTGATCGTCCTTTAAGGAAAGTTTCAGGAAGATTGTCCCAGCCATCTCCGAGAAACAGCCTGGATAAAAAAAACATGCGTACAATATCAATATGTCGTCCCGACTTCGTTCGGGGCGACATAATAATAATAATAAGAAAACGAGTAAAACAATATGTTCCCAAACTCCGTTTGGGGAACATAATAAGAAACAGAGTAAAAACAATATGTTCCCCAACTTCGTTTGGGGAACATAATAAGAAACAGAGTAAAAACACACACGTTCCCCAACTTCGTTTGGGGAACATAATAAGTTACCTTTGCTAAAATATTTAAAACATCAATGACATGTTACAGTGATGAAGTCCAAGTTAATTGATACTTATTGTATTTTCGAAATATAAATTAGTTCAAAATGTCTTTTTTTTGATTCCCTTTATTTTGTACACCATTTTGATTTCCCATTTGAAGTCTTTGTTGATTGGCCTACTGTATACAGGGTTATTTTCGTCCCTTTAAATTTTCGCCCTTTCACACTTGCAAACAATTTTGCCCAGTTTTAAGTTGCCCATTCATAATTTTATTACAGAAATTATATGTAATACAATGTATTTCATTTCGCCCCGTTTAAAATTCGCCCAAATGAGGATAGGGCGAAAAGGCGAAAATAAAACGGGAGTGAAAATTTCCCTGTATACAGTATTTTGAAAAACATTTGATTGCTTTTATAATTTGATTTCATCAAATTATTTTTGTACACACCCCTATTTTGATTGTCTTTTAGCCCCCAGAGTAGCAGTCATCACCCTGTCCCTGTCAGCATACCCCCTGGATCCTGAGAGCTACTTCCGGAATCTTCTGACGTCACTCTGTGTAGTGGATGAAGGAGTATTTGGACAGTAGCAGGCTCTTTATCAGCAGTATTGGATTCTGTTCCAAATGTGTTTCAGAAAGATGGTTTCCATTAGGAATTTACATGGATTTCTTTACACAAAAGTTGTCTACTGCTTTATATGGTCCTTGGCAGAAGGGAAAATGTGCATTTTACAATAATTTTGCTTCAACATCCCCAAAATGCAATCTGTACTTTAGAGCAAACATCCAGTGAAGGAGGCAATGCCAGAGCTGTAATACATGGGATGTTAGTACCCAGTGCAGATGATGCTGATAAAACATTTCGTTTTTTATGTCAGTATGAAAGGTCATCTTTACTACACACATTTTCTGTGTTATTAATTATGTTTACATTAAGATAAACATGCCTATGTGGGTGTCCTTTTGATTTGAGTGGTATAGAGACTGGTTTACTAATTGTTGGTTACCTATGTAATGTCACATATCTTCTCATTTACTGTATTATATGTTAAGAAGGCTGGGGGTAATGAATTAACCACCAGATGTAACATAATTTTTTAGATATGATATCTGAAGCTGTCAACTATCATTTGGCAAAGAAAAATTTCATACATTTTAGTTTTAAAATTTGATCATTTTTGTATATCTTTATATGGAGCTCTTCTTCTAAAGGAGGTGAAAATGATCTAAAAATGGCCACAACAACCCCCTTTAAAATGTAAAAGTGTTTTTGCATTTGCTGTGAATACAGTGCAAGAAATTAAGCTTGTTGAGTCTGTTAAATATTTTCTCCGAACCTTTTTAAAGAATGTATTCAAAATATAAAATGCATACACAGGGTTTCTGAATATCTTTTGCTACAATTTCATTTAATTGTACAATACCGTTTGAGAGATACCTATAAATAAAAGGAAAATGATATTGCACTTAGTATAAAACTGTGATGTGTGTAGTCTGTATGGACGTAAAATTCATTGAAGTCACAACACACCAAATCATTCACTCCAATGAAATACATAAAGCATGTCCTCTGTCTCAGATTGTAAATGGTCAAGGATTAAAAAACAGTTTTCTTGAAAATGAACTGGCATATTCCACTATCTCTGGCTCACTGACCGAATTCAGAAGATTTATCTGTAAATCAAAACATGGTAAACATTTTAGAGGTACACATGTATAGTGAATGGTACATTATAAGTACAATAAGACAATAAGAGCAAAGTCAAAAGAATCTTTGTGATCCTTGATTTTTCTAGGATACCTTTTTAATAATTTCTTCGAAGTCTTCTTTGAATGCTAAGTTGCGCATGAGATATACAAAAGACTGTATAAATCTGGAGCCAAACACGCCATGATAATCCACTGCCACTGAAAAATTGATGGTTTTGAAATTATGAATTCCATTAAAATTCGTTTTGTTCAAATTAATATGAAGATTAACGTGACTACACCGTATCTACCATCTTGCGTTGCCCTAACAACGAACATGTCGGCCCTCATGTTCACAGCTTGGTCAGACGTCGTTGAAGAAGATACCATAGATGTCAGGTTTTCGGTAGCCGTTTTTATTTCATCCACTGATTTGGATTTTGCTGAAAAGAAAAGACCTATTAAGTTGTATTTCATTGAAGATAAATGCATCAGACACGTAACAATGATAGCTACGTCTCTGCGTGCATATAGTATACATGTATATAGTTAGTTCTTAGTTAATGTTGGATGTACGAACCATCATCACATGCTTGGAAAATAAATATCTTCGGAATTCCTCTTAGACTGCTGCAATGTTCATCGTCAAACATTGAAATGATGGTGTCTATACATATCTTATAACCATTCACACCATAGATGTGGTCTCCGTCACCACGTGACATAACGACCATTACGTAACACTCAACTGAGGCGTGGTCACATGTTCGCTCCTTCTCCAGTACGGCAGAAAGTTCCTACCGAGAGATATCAAATTTTGAATTCCAAGCAGACATTTTACTTTAAAAAATTGTCACGAGAAAAAAAACTGGATGTATCCGTTGAGGTATATTCATATTTGGAACATAAAAAGGCTAGTACATGATTGATAAAAATAATAAAGCACCTCTAATGTTAGATTGCTGTGTTGTTTTGTTTGGAAATGAAGTTGTTTGAAGAGCAAATCCAAACTAGTGGCATCTTGTTGGGATCTCCCCATTCTCTCTACGTCCACTTCCTGTCTGCCAAATTTGAAGTTGTTGATGATGACTAATCTTCCCCGAGGTTTCTTCACCATAGGATAGACCTCCGACTTAGGGGACTGTCAAAAGAATACGTGTTAATATGGACGGATTTTATCTACAGTTATCAAAGTGGAAAAAGGGTAGAAGAAATGGAATATACATACCACATTAAGGCTAGAAAGAGCTGATGAACTTCGAGATCTGTGGACTTTGAAATTTAATGACTGGGCATGCTCCGTTTCTGAAGGCCATTCTGACACAATAAGAACAAATTCTAAAATCTCGGATACCATATATGAATTCATTAAGGTAAGCTAGTGATAAAGTTCACAAGGGAAACGTTGAGCTATTACTATTCACATTTCCCTTTCAAATGTAGAACACAATTTAGATCATTCTATGAAAAAAGCTCCGAAGAGGCATTTGTCGACAGGAATAACTTCATGAAAGTACAAGTTCAGAATTCCTGTAAGCATGGCTAGGATAAATGTGCCTAAGAGACTTATTCTTACTCTCTGGTAAGATGAACTCTTCGTCTACAATGGATAAGTTCTGGAAATCTTTTTCCTCCAGGGGTAGCTCACACGTAAAGGACTGTTCCTGAAACTCGCTGATCGATTCCACGGGTTCTCGCCTAACTTCTGCTGACATACTCCGCATCAGCGGGGGTTTCACAATTTCTCTGTTTGGTTCCACTGTCGCCGACGCACTCTTTATGAAAGGAAACCTTTCAGACTTCCTGTTTTCAAATAAATCTTTCTTGCCCCCTGGACTACAAAATTCAATCATGTAAGTTGATTATTTTTTCAGGAATCTTTTTATTGTTAATTGAAAAGTACTAAGTAATTGACTCTTTGCAGTTTAAAAGTCTTCAATTGCATATTTGAAAGTTAAATTAATTTAAATCAAAAGAAAAATATTGATTTGTTTGCGACTTGAAGGTAAACTATCTGTGCACAATCTTCCAATTTTTGTTTTATAAAAGTTTATAAAAAAAAAATGATTTGCATGAAGCAAGGCTATTTACGTACTAGAGAATGTCTGAGAGGTTGTGCTGAAAAGTCTCCTCCAGAACGTCAAAGAAAGCCCCGTATGCTCTTTTGCCTCGCTTTGGAATGATAGTAGTATAAGGCGCCTAGATGGCTGGGTCAACTGAGTGCACTTTTGGGGGTGGTGGGGATAGCTGGGTCAAGCGAGTGCAGCCCCTGGGGGGATAGCTGGGTCAACTGAGTGCAGCCCCCTGGAGGGGATAGCTGGGTCA